GCAGGAACTGAGGTGGGCAAAAGGACCTTCTCCTACAACTCTCAGGATATGTGCTCTAATTATTGATTGCTCCTTCTGTTCATAGAGAGCAGCCATTGTTGTTTCTCTTCCCACCATTGTGAAACTCTGCATCTCTGGTTCAAGTGATTTCTAGGAGATTTAAAGGGCCAGTGCCCTTTTTTAACACCATTTTTCAATTTTCCCCTTTTAGAAGCTTAACATTAAAGACTAGGATATTCAAAACAACTGCATACATGGATAAAATTAGAAAGTAACTATGCATATCCAAGGAAAAGCTGACAAAAGATTTAAGAAAACATTAAATCTACACTTCAGGCTTCTTGTTGGTACACAGACTACCTACAATGATAAAAATAAGTAAATAAATAATAATTTTAAAAAGTGAGTTCAAGTTCAAGTGGTAGTCGAAAGTGGACCCCAGAGAGCCCTGAGCAGCCCCACCACCACCACAGAGCTAGTTATCATCATACCCTGGGAGAACCATAGCTGCCGCAGCCAGCCCCAATCACCATCACCATAACCATGAGCAGGGAGGCCAAGACCAGCAGTATCCCCACTGCCCCCCTCTAGCTCTGCCAACACCAAGCCTAGCACACTGCCCCCCTCTAGCACTGCCAACATCAAGCTTAGCACCACAGGCAGTGCCCAACAGCCAGGGCAGCCTCACATCACTGGGGGACAAGAAGCTTATTACAACAAAGGTTTTAGAATCAGTAAAATGGTTCAATGTAAGAAACAGATATGATTTCATCAACAGGAATGACACCCAAGGAAGATGTATTGTATACAAGGTTGCCATAAAGAAGAACCCCAGGAAGTACCTTTGCAATGTAGGATATGGAGAGACTGTGGTGTTTGATGTTGTTGAAGGAGAAAAGATTATAGAGGCAGCAAAATGCCTTGGTGGATTTCCAGTAAGGCAGTAAATATGCAGCAGACCATAACCATTACAGACGCTATCCACATCGCAGGGGTCCTCCATGCAATTACCAGAATAGTGAAAGTGGGGAAAAGAATGAGGGATAGGAGAGAGCTCCTGAAGGCCAGGCCCAACAGCACTGGCCCTATCCCACGCAGCCTACCCCAGATGATGGTTACCACTGTATTATATGCAGAGACTCTTTGGGCATCACCCACAGTATTCCAACCTTCCTGTGCACGGATAAGTAATGGAGGGTGCTGAAAACCAGGTGCAGGTGAATAAGGTAGACCAGTGACACAGATTATGTATCGGGACTATAGATCATGATTTCACAGGGTCCCTCCTCGCCAAAGAAAGCTTAGAGAGGATGGCAATGAAGAAGATAAGGAAAATCAAGGAAGGTCAGCAGCCACCTCAAAGTTGGTACTGCCACAACTTCAATTACTGAAGCAGATGGCCAGAAAATTCTAAACCACAAGAAGGCAAAGAGACAAAAGCAGTCAATCCACCAGCTGAGAATCTGTCTGCTCTCTAGGCTGAGCAGGGAGGGCTGAGTAAATGCAGGCTTACCCTCTCTGTCATCCAACAAGAAGAAATGCATGAAATGAAATTCCAGTAATAGCCAAAACCGGTTTGGCTCAGTGAATAGAGCATCGGCCTGTGGACTGGAAGGTCCCGGGTTCGATTCCGGTCAAGGGCATGTACCTTGGTTGTGGGCACATCCCCAGTGGGGGGTGTGCAAGAGGCAGCTGGTCAATGTATCTCTCTTATTGATGTTTCTAACTCTCTATTCCTCTCAATTCCTCTGTGTAAAATCAATCAATAAAATAAATATTAAAAAAAAACAAGTCCCCACCCCCAATACATGCACACTCACATACTCACATACTAAAAAAAAAAAAAAAAAAAAAATTCCAGTAATAAGGAATGAACAAAAGATTAAAGTTGAAGACCTTAAGTGCTTGCTTTTTGTCTCTTGACCAGATAACTAGAACTATCTGCACTTTCTATGCAGCATGGGGTTTTAAAGATGTCTCTTTTTGGTAATGACAAACAGTATGGTTTAAAATTTTTTTTTAAATGTTCAAATATTACCAGTTCCTTTCCTTTAAAAAAATATTTTTGTTGATTTCAGAGAGAAAGGGAGGAGAGAGAGAGAAACATCAATGATGAGAATCATTGATCAGCTGCCTCACGTATGCGCCCCACAATCTGGGCTCCAATTCCTGGGAATTGAACTGTGACCTTATGGTTCATAATTCAACGCTCAACCATTGAGCCACGGTGGCTGGCAACAAATGTGGTTTTTTGTGTGTTTTTTTAAATATATTTTATTGATTTTTTACAGAGAGGAAGGGAGAGAGATAGAGAGCTTGAAACATCGATGAGAAACACTGACCAGCTGCCTCTTGCACACCCCCTACCAGGGATATGCCCGCAACCAAGGTACATGCCCTTGACCGGAATTGAACCTGGGACCTTTCAGTCCGCAGACCGACACTCTAGCACTGAGCCAAACCGGTTTCGGCAACAAATGCATTTTGTTTTTTTTAAAGCCTGCAAAAAAAAGCAGGAGCTGGCCTCAGCATACCTTATACTTCTCGATAGGTGGCCCCTGGCCTAACACTAGCAGCAGCCTGCCTTGATTCACAGCTTGGCATCTCCTGGACACCTCCAAGCCCATCACAAGTAGCAACCATCTGCAGATAGCTTTGTAGCTCTTGTCAGTGGCCCCAGGCAAGGCACAGGCAGTATTGACTTTCCAGTTCCCAGGAGGACCCCAGAACCACTGTACCCACAGATTACACCAGATTACAACCCTACCACATCCACAAGTGACACACTTAAGGGTGGACTCAGTGAAGCTAATCCTGCTCCACGGGGCATCTCCTGCACAGCAGCTCTTTCGCTGGCGTCACAGATGGCCTTCACAGCCAATTGGATTGGGGGGTCAATCCCGCCCAGTGACACCAACAGCAGTCAAGGATCAACTACAACAAGACTGTGCACACAGCCCACAGGATTGCACCTAGAGTACTCAGCTCAGGTGACCGGAGAGGCTGAGCTACTAAGCCCTATAGAACATCTACTACACAGGGCCACTTTACAATTCCAGGAGACAGCAGCTCTAATACATAGAAACAAACACAGGGAAGCAAAAAACGCAGAGACAAACAAATAAAAGAACGGAAGAAATCTCCAGAAAAAGAATTAAATGAAATGGAAGGGTCTCCACAAGCAAACTACCAGATAGAGTTCGAAACATTACTTGTAAGGATGCTCGAGAAACTAATGAGAACTTCAATGAACTTAGAACATCAACAACATAAAAAAAAACAAAAAAAAACCAGTCAGAAATGAAGGATAATTTACAGGGAATCAACAGTAGAGTAAGAGGATACCGAGAATCAAATCAACGATTTGGAATATGATATGAGGAAGCAAAAAAAACACCAACCAGAAGAGCAAAAAGAAAAGAATCCAAAATTATGAAGACAGTGTAAGGAGCTTCTGGGACAACTTCAAGAGTACCAACATTTACATCAGAGGGTGCTGGGAGGAGGAGGAGGAGTAAGAAATTGAAAACTACCATGACTGGTTTGGCTCAGTGGTTAGAGTGCCAGCCCTTGGACCGAAGGGTTTCGGGTTCAATTCCAGGTCCAGGACACATAGCTTGGTTGCAGGTCCCCAGCCCTGGTAGGAGCACGTGCAGGAGGCAACCAATCAATATCTTCCTCTCACACTGATGTTTCTTTCCTCCTCTTTTCCTCTCTCTACCTTCTACCTCCCACTATCTCTAAAAATCAATGGAAAAAAATATCCTTAGGTGAGGATTAAAGAACAAAAAAGATAAGACATTAAAAACCTATTTGAGAAAATGACAGAACCCTAGGCCAGCATGGTTCCGTAGTAAGACCATCGGCCTGCACACCAAAGGGTTGCAGGTTCAATTCCCAGTCAAGGGCACATATTTGGGTTGCAGGCCTGATATCTGCCCCTGGTTGGGGCACATGTTGGAGGTAACCAATAGATGTATCTCTTACACATAGATATTTCTCTCTTTGTTCCCCTTTCTCCCTCTCTTCCACTCTAAAAATCAATGGAGCCCAGCAGCCATGGCTCAGTGGTTGAGTGTCGACCTATGAACAAGGAGGTCAAAGTTCAATTTCCAGTCAGGGCATATGCCCACGTTGTGGGCTCGAACCCCAGGTAGGGTGTACAGGAGGCAACCTATCAACGATTCTATCTCATCACTGATCTCTCTCTCTCTCTCTCTCTCTCTCTCCCTCCCTCCTTCCCTTCCTCCCTCCCTCCCCCCTTCCTCTCTGAAATCAATAAAAAAATATATATTTTTAAATAAATGGGAAAAATATCCTCACTCCTTGATTGTTGGCAAACGAGAAAAAGGAAGCCTTATTTACCAATTAGCAAATTGAATTCAGGGATTCTAAATTGGTGCAGTCATTAGAAAACAGTAAGAAGGTTCCTCAAAAATTAAAAATAGAACTACCACATAACCCAGCATTTTCACTTCTGGGTATTTATCCAAAGATAGCCAAACACTAAATCAAAAAGATATATGCTCCTCTGTGTTCATCACAGCATTATTTACAACGGCCAAGATGTGAAAATAATCCAAATGTTCATCCACAGACAAATGGATAAAGAAGCTGTGGTTCATACATAAAATGGAATGTTAATCAGCCATAAAAATGAAAGAAATCTTGCCATTGTGACATGGATGGACCCACATGGTATTATGCTTAAGGAAATAAAACAGACAGAGAAAGATATATACCATATCATTTCACATATATGTGGAATCTAAAAAAAAAGAACAAGAAAAAGAAATGAACAAACAAAATAGAAACTGACAAATACAGAGAACAAACTGTTAGTCACCAAGCAGGAGGGGGATTGGTGGGAAATAGGTGAAAAAGGTGAAAGGGATTAAGAAGAACAAATTGCCAGTTATAAAAACAGTCACATGGATGTAAAGTACAGCATAGAGAAATACCCAATAATATTGTAATAATCATGTATGGTGTCCAGAAGGTACTAGACTTACTATGGGGATCACTTTGTAAGATATATAAATGCCTCATCCCTATGTTTTACATCTGAAACTAATAATAATGTATGTCAAATATAATTGAAAAATAAATTTTAAATTAAATTTGCTGGGCACCTCTGCCCTGCCAGCTCCAAGTCATTACAATGAAAGCCTTCCTACTCCAGCAAGGACAAGTTGGAGCGCTGAAGACTATGCTTCCACAAGGCACTTGCTCTTACAGCTTATCTCTTTGTAGAATCCAGAGTGACAAGGATCTCTGCCACTAAATCTCAAGAAATAAAGCCCACCAAAAATGCCAGCACGAGCAACTACACCTACTGAATTGTTTGACAACATCAACTATAAGAATCTCCAGCATCATTACTACACCACAAACACCTTCTTAGACCTAAACCTGTACCTCTTGAAATTTTGGTTGCCTGAGCCCTCTTCCAGATGAGTCTCCTTGCCATTCAGAGTTCAGTTTAATGATTACCCTTACGTCATCTGCTGCATTCTTGCCTGCAAAATAAAGTCCACTCAAGTGATGAAAAAAAAAGACTCAAGCCCTGGCAGGACAGAGCATTGGCCTTCAGAATGAAGGGTGCCAGGTTTGATTCTAGTCAGGGAACATGCCTAAAATCGATCCCCAGTGGGGGTTGTGTTGGAGGCAGCCAATCAATGATTCTCTCTCATCACTGATATTTTCCATCTCTCTCTTCCTCTTCCTTCCTCTTTAAAATCAATTAAAATATATATATATATATAACATATATATTTAATATATATATTTAATATATATTTAATATATATATATATATATATATATATATATATATATATATAGTTAAAAAAGACTCAAATTATCAAAAGCAGAAAGTGGGGACATTAAAAAAGAACAAATAGCCTTGGTGATGTGATCAATGGTTAGAGCATCGGCCCCCTCACTGAAAGGTTGCAGGTTCCACCCCCAGCCCAGTGGGGATGCATGGGGGAGGCAACCAATTGATGTGTCTCTCACATCAATGTTTCTTTCTTTCTCTCTTTCTGTCTCTGTCTCTCTCCCTCCTTTCCACTCTCTCTTAGAAAATCAATGGGAAAAATATCCTTGGGTGAGGATTAACAAAATATTTTTTTAAGTTAACACAAAAATCAGTTGCATTTCTACACATTAATAATTCTATTTACAAGTGAAAGGGTTAATTGGAGAAAACAAGGTTTACGCCTTACAAAACCTAACAAATGTCAAAGGGAAAGCTCATTATGTTAGCCTAAGTCTTGCACAAAAATGCTCTCCTTGAGTGGTTATTTTACAGAAATTCCTGAAGACCATCACCCCTGCATAGTCCCCCAAGAAAGGATGTCTAGTGCCAGCAGAAGGACAAAGGGCAAGGTTGTAAAACAACTATGACAGGGGCACGGTTCTGATACCTGGGTCAAGCCGAAGCCCTGTCTGCTGCTCTCCCTGAGTGCATACAAAGCCTGCTCCCTCCCCAATTCACTGCTGGCTCTTTCTCCAGTCAGACCACCTGCACCCAGGTGCCTCAAATAAACATCCTTTTGAATACACTGAGCCTTGAGTCCGTTCTGTGTGGCCCCGGCCCAACCCTGAATCTTTCAACAATATTTTTTTTAAAAACTAAGAAATTAACTTCACCAAGGACATGAAAGACTTATACAATAAAATAAAAACATTGCTGAAATAAATTAAAGCCAACATAAATAAATGAAATTACGTACCACATTTAAGGATTAGAAGACTTAATATTATTACAATGTTAACATTACCCAAAGTATTCTACAGATTCAATGCAATCCCTATAAAAATCTCAAAGACAATTTTTACAGAAATAGAATACACATTCTAAAATTTACATGGTATCTTAGGAGACTCTGAATATTCAAAACAATCTCAAAAAGTAAGAACAAAACTGGAAGACTGACAATTCCTGGTTTCAAAACTATTGCAAAGCTACAGTAATCAAAATATTGTCGTCTTGGCTAAAGACAGACATATAACCCAATAGAATTAACCAAGAGCCCAGAAATAAACCCTCACATATATGGTCAAATCATTTTTATAAGCATGCCAAAACCACTTAGTAGGGGAGAGAACATTCTTTTCAACAAATGGTGCTGGGAAAAGTGGATATCCACATTCAAAAGAAAGAAGTTGGCCCCTCACCTATATACAAAATATACAAAAATTAACTAAAAATGGATCAAGAAAATTAATGAAAAACTCAAAACAGTAAAACTCTTTGGAAAAACATAGCATAAAAGCCTCATGACACTGGATGTGGCCACCATTTCTTAGCTATAACAAAGGCACAGACAACAAGGGAAATAAAAATCAAACTTCATGAATACTTAAAAACTTGTGCATCAAAAGACACTATACGCAGAGTAAAAAGGTAACCCACAGAATGGAAGAAAATGTTTGTAAATTATGTATCTGATAAGAGATTAATAGCCAGAATATATAGATAACTCCTAAAATACAACAAAAAAAACAAGTAAATTTTAAGATGGGCAGAAGACTTAAATAGACATACAAATGACCAGTAAGTACGTAATAAGATACTCAACATCCTTAATCATTAGAGAAATGCAAATCAGAATTACAATGAGATACCACCTCATACCTATTTGGATTAGGATGGCTACAATAAAATAAACTATAAACAAGTGTTGGTGAAGATGTGGGGAAACTGGAATCCTGTGCACTGTTGGTGAAAATGTAAAATAGCCACTGTGGAAATTCCTCAATCAAGTAAACAGAGAATTACCATATCATCCAGCAATTCCCCTTCTGAGTACGTATAAACCCCAAAGAATTGAAAGTAGGGTCTCAATATATGTGTACATCCTTGCTCACAGCAGCATTATTCACAACAGCTAAAATATGGAAGCAAAGTAACTCTCCATTGACAAATGGATAAACAAAATGTGATATATACATACAATAGAATGCTATTCAGCCTTAAAAAATAAAAGGAAATTCTGTGCTATCTAAATCGTGGATGAACCCTGAGGACATTATGCTAAGTGAAGTAAGCCAGTCACAAAAAGATAAATACTGAATTACTCCACTCAAATGAGGTACTTAAGAGTAGTCATATTTAGAGACAGAAAGTAGAATGATGATTGCAAGTGTCTCTTATATGAATGTTCTCTTGTCATCCCTCCCTCCCGCCCTCTTTCTCTCCCTCTTTTCTCCTCCCTCCCTTCCACTTTCTCTAGAAATCAATGAAAAAAATATCCTCAGATGATTTTACAATAAAAAAGGTTGATAATAAATTTATGTTAAGTATATTTTATCACAATAAACATTTAAAAATATATTTTATTGATTTTTTACAGAGAGGAAGGGTGAGAGATAGAGAGCTAGAAACATCAATGAGAGAGAAACATCAACCAGCTGCCTCTTGCACACCCCCTACTGGGGATGGGCCCACAACCAACGTACACGCCCCTGACCGGAATCGAACCTGGGACCTTTCAGTCCGCAGACCGACGCTCTACCACTGAGCCAAACCAGTTTTGGCACAATAAGACATTTTAAAAAAAGAACACTAGCTCCAGCTAACTTTGGGTATTGCAGATATAGCCTATTCATGGAAAGCTACATCAATACAAAGCAGCCTATGAGAAGTCTAGCACTTAACTCCAATAATCAGTCAGCCCTGCTACTTGCAAATAAGACTTCTGTTTGGAACATTAAGATGTTTCCATCTCTCAGTTTCCAGTAAGAGCCATCATCTCAACACAGGAAAAAGCAGACTAAGGTGGGAAGGAAGGATATGGAGCCTCAATTCCTCATATTCCCCAACTCCTCATGTGAAATTAGAGTTGAGTCAACCAGACAGTGGATCCCTGAGAGAAGGAACAATATTGACCTGGCACAAGAGAAGAACTCAAATATTTCTTTGCTATAAGAATATTCCTCCTCATCGTCACACTGACCATATGGCTATTCATGGGCACTCACCTGGCCTGCATCCAGCCTTTAGGCCAGAGAGGTCTGACCTCAGCATCCAGAAACACCTTCACATAATCTTCCCAGGAATGGATTTTGTTGTTCTTCTCATCATAGTTCTCCAGTTTTATCTTCACCACATGGCAGAGCAGCTCCCTAAGGAGTAGGCAGGAGTCAGAAACTTCAAACTACCCCAAATGCTTCTTCAAGGTTTTAATCATGTGCGTTCACCGTCCTGACTAAAGTATAAATGATTCTAACCTTCGTTAGAAACACGGGAGCATGCTCAGACCCTGGCCCCACAAACCCTCCAGTGAGGCAAGCACCCAGTCTGGGCACACCTGATTTCATCATTCCACTGAAATTTCTTCCGGGGGCCCATTATCCTCCTGCCCCCCTTTTCTTCATCTTCTTCCTCATCAGAACAAATCCGTTCTTTCTGCTCCTTGTCTTTCTCCTCTTCCAGCATCCTACCGGGTGAACAGAATTAAACAGGACCCTAAAGTCACCACAGGAAAACTACTCCTTCCTGTGTCCACTGCCTCCCTTTTGTCCCCCCACCTTCCCCTAGGACCTCTAAGATAAGGAGGTGGGAATGCTGATGAGAGCGATGGGACATACTTACTTAGCAACCTTGGCTTGTGTATGGGCCTGGCATTCATCTTGGTACCTGGCCATCTGCTCTGGCATTGCCCTGCCAATGGCTTCCTTAAGCTTCTGGAGAGGTTCCTTCAGACGCCCTCCCTGCAGAGAGCAGGACATATCATAAATCTGTTTTATGTTCCTCTTTTAAAAAATATATATTTTATTGATTTTTATAGAGAGGAAGGGAGAGGGTGAGAGCTAGAAACATTAATGAGAGAGAAACATTGATCAGCTACCTCCTGCACACACACATCCCCTCCCCACACACACACACACTGGGGACATGCCCGCAACCAAGGTACATGCCCTTGACCAGAATCCAACCTGGGACTCTTCAGTCCCCAGGCTGACGCTCTATCCACTGAGCCAAACCGGTTAGGGCTTATGTACCTCTTTTTATACTGAGGACCCACTACAAAAATAATCGCACAGAGGCGGTGCAACAGCACCTGTGACATCTGTGAAGACTCAGTCACTCCTCCTCTGGGCCCCAAAGCCAACATGTTCCACTGCAGAGTCACCCACCTGTTCACAGAGGTGAAGCTTTCGAGCACGCTTGACGAGGGTGTCCTTGCTGCAGGGCAGGAATGAAGCAAGATAGGCATATACCCCAGAACGAGCCTGGCTACTCAGCTCCCGAGTTTGCACCTCTATGCTGAAGAACAGAATAGTTATCAATGGGCCACAGCCCAGGCATATTCTTTCATCATTAGATCACCCTACCATGGATAGGAAAGCTAAGAGCCAAGAGCAGGTAAAATCTTATCTCATCAACACAATGCAACCAAGTGGCCAGTGCAACAGATCTCCAACAGTCACCAAACAAAAATTCCCAAACCTGATGAACCTGGCTGGGTAAAGTGGGCTAAGGCTCTCAGGTCCAAAACAAGACCAAGCCAAATGTTATCAGAGCCCAGAGAAA